TGTACCCCCGTTCACCAGTCTAGGCCATCCCAGGACGCCTGGAATCTTCCAGTTGCCAGAACATCCCTCTGCACATCCTGTATTTAAGGGTTGCTGCTGTACCAACGTGCTGTCTCAGTGTTGGGTAGGAATTAGAGGCTGGCCTGTGTTCTGTTTTTCTTCAAAATGCCCACTGCAGGGGGCCAGCTGGTGGACCTAGGGAGGGTCAAGAAGGAAATGACCTATTTGGGCCAGACAGCCCGGGAGGCCTAGAAGGGAGAGAGACTCAGCCAAGAGAATGGGGCTGGGGACTGGATTTTCTTGCAGGGCCATTCCAAGCGGGATTCCTCGCCACCAGGCCAGAACACGTTTATTTGCAGAGTGTTTCCCTCTGTGCCCTCTGGGGGCAGGGTCAGCTGGGAGGCGGCAGTCCGTGAAGGTACGGAGGAGAAGGGAAAGCTGGCAGGTGCCGATTCCCAGGCCTTGAGGGGTGTTCCCGAGGCAGCAGCGTGCCAGTGGCATACTTTCACAGGAGTGATTAAAAAAGGTTAACCAACCTTTCATTGAGGTGTGACAGGCACTAGAAAATCCTTATATTCTTTTTTTTTTAAGATTTTATTTATTAGAGAGAGAGAGAGAGAGAGAGGAGAGAGAGAGAGAGAGAGGGAGAAGCAGGCTCCATGCAGGGAGCCCAACATGGGATTCGATCCCGGGTCTCCAGGATCACGCCCTGAGCTGATGGCGGTGCTAAACTGCTGAGCCACCCGGGCTGCCCGAAAATCTGTATATTCTACGTACATGGACAGCTTGGTAAGACTTCACAAACAGCACATGGGTGTGTAGCCAGCACCTGGATGAACGGAAGGTCACGCACATCTCAGGGGCCGCACCTGATGCCTTCCGGTCACTAACTGTCCCTTCCCCCTCACTCAGGATCACCTTGTCCTGATTCCTCACAGCATAGTTTAACCTTCTTATGTGTTTACTTTTTTAAAAAAGATTTTATTTTATTTATTTATTCATGAGAGACAGAGGGACAGAGAGAGAGAGAGAGAGAGAGAGAGAGAGAGGCAGAGACACAGGCAGAGGGAGAAGCAGGCCTCATGCAGGGACCCCGATGTGGGACTCGATCCCGGGTCTCCAGGATCACTCCCTGGGCTGAAGGCAGCACTAAACTACTGAGCCACCTGGGCTGTCCCTACTTTTTATTTTTTTAAGATTTATTTATTTATTTGAGGGAGAAAGTGCGAGCAGAGGGAGAGGGGGAGAGACACAAATTCCCCGCTGAGTGGTGCTCCATCCCAGAGCCCCAAGATCATGACCTGAGCCTAAGTCAGGAGTCAGATGCCCAACTGACTGAGCCACCAGGCACCCCTTTATGTGTTTAATATAAATAACACCATCATGTGCTCCCTTGTGTCTGGCTTCTTTCACTCAAACTTATGATCGTGAGTTGTGTTCCTGTGTTGTGCATGGTTGTGGCTTGTTTTCATCCCTCTGTATTGTTCTGCTGCATGTGTGTGCGCTTTAAGGTTTTCTTTCTTTCTTTCTTTCTTTCTTTCTTTCTTTCTTTCTTTCTTCTTTTTTCTCTCTTTCTTTCTTTCTTTCTTTCTTTCTTTCTTTCTTTCTTTCTTCTTTCTTTCTTTCTTTCTTTCTTTCTTTCTTTCTTTCTTTCTTCTTTCTTTCTTTCTTTCTCTTTCTTTCTTTCTTCTTTCTTTCTTTTTTTCTTTCTCCTTCCTTCCTTCCTTCCTTCCTTCCTTCCTTCCTTCCTTCCTTCCTTCCTTCCTTCTTTCCTAGCACAGGTGTGGGCAGAGGCCGAGGGAGAGGGAGAGAATCTCCAGCAGACACTTTGCTGAGCACAGAGCCCGACGCGGGGCTCCATCCCAGGATCCAGAGATCATGACCTGGGCCGAAACCAAGAGTTGGGTGCTCAACTGACTGAACCACGTAGGCGCCTCTGCACGTGTGTTTTTAAAGTCCCTTCTACTGTCGATGGGCATTTCAGTCGTTTGCAGTGCTAGGTTGTTATGGATAGGGCTGCCGTGCACATCCCAAGACCTACCTTTTGGTGAACAGGTAACACATTTTTGGGGAACTTATATGTAGGCGTGGAACCACTGGGTCCCAGGGTGCATATCTATTCAGTGTTAGTGGATAACGCCAAACCGTTTCTCAGAGTGGTCGCTGGTGTTTCTTCAGATCGTCCATCCACCAGCTTGGAGGAGAATTCTGGTGCCACTGGATGGTATTGACCATCTTTTTCATTTTGGCCAATTTGTTAGGAGAAACACATGCCTAGAAAGGGAATCGCATAGCAGAGAAAGTGAAGATGCTCCCCAAGAGGGAGTGTTACTGTGGGATGACAGGACAGGTGTGCCGTGCTGCTCCTGGAGTTCTTTTTTCTTTTCTTTTCTTTTCTTTTCTTTTCTTTTCTTTTCTTTTCTTTTCTTTTTTTTTTAAGATTTTATTTATTTATTCATGAGACACCGAGAGGCAGAGACACAGGCAGAGGGAGAAGCAGGCTCCCTGCAGGGAGCCCAATGTAGAACTCGATCCCAGGACCCTGGCATCACGCCCCGAGCCAAACCATACCTTGAGTTCTTGCAGGTGAAGCCCACGGTGGGGCCGTTGCCTTGGGGCGGGTCTGCGGCTCGGCTGCAGTGACACCCAGCAGACCGAGGAATAATTCTTCCTCGGGTGACAGAGCTTTAATGTACCTGACCCCAACAAAACAGACTTGGCTTCAGCCTTGCCCGTGGGCTTCTGTAAATATTTAACAGACCGCGGCCCTCCTCCTCTCCCCTACCATCGAGTGGGGCTGGCACCCCAAGTCCCCAACCCCTCCTGCTGCTGCAAGCAGCCCCTCTCAGTGCCTGGGACTCGGGGCCTGGCCTCCTGGTGCCCTCCTGCTCCTGGCTGCTGCCCTGGGCCATCAGTTTTCCGTGGCGATTGCTGTCAGAGCTGAGGAGCGTGAGGAACCCCAGGATGGCCTCCTCCATTTGCTGCATGAAATACTGGCTTCCTGAGCTCTGAATAGGCGCCCAGTGACATGCGGAGGGCTTTTTCTGGTGATCACTTCATACCAGCCTCCTAGTTCTAAGAAGTAAGTGGGAGTGATTCACCCCCATTTTACAGATGAGAAAAGCAAGGGTGAAAAGCATTTTTTCCCGAGTAACATAGTGAATTTGTTCGTTTGACTTTATTTTATTTTTAAAAAATATTTATTTATTCTTGAGAGACAGAGAGAAAGAGAGACAGGCAGAGACACAGGCAGAGGGAGAAGCAGGCTCCATGCCGGGAGCCTGATGTGGGACTCGGTCCCGGGTCTCCAGGATCACGCCCTGTGCTGAAGGCAGGTACTAAACCTCTGAGCTATCCAGGCACCCCTGTTAGTTTGACTTTAAACATTGATGCTTTCACCACTATCTTGCCTTTCTCTCTCAGGGGCTGATATTTAGATACTTAAATTTCCTTTTTAATCCACCTTTCTCTTGGACCTAAAAGCTATGTCAGGTGGGTTTAAATGAGATAAGGGAAGCTCACCCTGTGACCTGTGGCCACTGAAGGATGCTTAAAGCAGAGGATGGATGCCTGTTGGCGTGGTTGCTCTGAATAATGGCCCTCCAAAAGATGTCCATGCCCTGCTCCCCAGGACCTGTGAATATGTTTTCTTACATGTGAAGAGGGACTTTGTAGATAGGACTGAAGTTCAGGACCATGATTGGAACATAAGATGATGAATTTGTGTTGTTTTATGCCACTAAGTATTTGAAAATTTGTTCCTGCAGGAGCAGAACACTTGATGTTGATGGCCGTTGCTATAATGGTCAAGCTCATGGGCTTCTGAGCCAGGCTATCTAATTTCAAATCTCTGTTGTGTGGTTTTCCAGCTGTGTGACCATGGGCAAGTTGCTTAACCTTTCTGGGCCTCAGATTTCTCATCTCTCAAATTGGATATGAATAGTCTATAACGTGTAATAGTCTATAAGTCCTTTGTTAGAGGATTAAATGGGGATTTTATGCCCATGAAATGCCCGGTAGTAAGTTTTAGGTACAGTCACTCCAGGTCGTCATCCTTGCTGGTCACACAGAGCAGAGCAGTGGATCAGGGCACAGAATTGGGAGACACACTGGCTGCAGATTCAGGCTCTACTCTCACTGGTTTGGAGCAAGGTAGTTGTCTGTGCCTCGTTTCCTTATCTGGAAAATAGAGGCAGGAGTCCCAAAGTGGTTGGGGCCTGTATCCGGTGGTGGGCCAGAGGTTTCAGCAGAAGAGCGATAGGCACTCCATACGGGGCCGTCCTTGTTATCTTTGGGTGGGTGGTGACTGTTGGGCCTCAGGCCCTCCGCACTATGGGACCATGCGTTCTCTGTTACCTGGAGAACAATTGAAGAACGCTTTGCTGGGGAGGCCGAAGGATCCCCATCTAGCTAGAACAGTACTGGGTACCTAGCAGGTGCTCCGCAACTCCTGCATGCATGAATCCGAAAAGGAAAGAGCCCCAGGCCCTGCCCTGAAGAAGCTCGCTGTGCAGGATGAGCCCTGGAGTGATGCCAGAGCTTTGTGGTTGTTTTTAAAAAGAAACAAAAAAACCCCAAAGAACTACTTCCTACCAGCTGACCCCAAACCCCCTCAGCTCACTGCAGGGGAGCTCAGGGCTGTGTGCCAGGCCTGGCCCAGCTACAGACTCCCGAAGCTAGCCACCTACCCCTTCTTGAACCTTTCCCCCTCCTCTTTATGACAGATATCGCTCTCAGGGTAGTTGTAAGAACCCCCAAGGAGTAGAAAGTTCGCAATCGGAGAGGTCTTTGGTGCCTGTGCGAGGTGACACTCCTCTGAAGGCCTCCTGACCTCCTACCTCACCTCTGTTTGGGTTATCAGAGCTACAGGGCATTATTTTTAGTGAGTTCCTCAAGAAGTGTATTGGGGTCCAATATAAGGAAGGAATAATAACGTGATTACTCCTCTAGGTCCATGGTTCTAACAAGATTGATTTTATTTTTCTTCTTTCCATCCTCAGGCCTGATCTTTTGACCAGAAAGGGATTAAAAAGTTGCCCATCGTGATGGCTGTGCCTGCCGGTTGCATGGAGCCTCATTCAGGATTTCCTGAGCCTCTTGGATTTACAGTGATACTCAGCTGCAGGGAGTGGAGAAAGCATTCTCTGGAATCACAGACCCCCGGCACACGTCTGGATGCTAATGATGGTTTTACGGATGGCCCCGGCTGAGTGCTTGGCGGATCTCTGCAGCCTGGATGCCTGTGGGGTCAGAGGACCGCGGCTTCCTGGGACGGCGGAGGTCTCTGCAATTATCTTCATGCAAATGTTCAGTTGGGTCGCTGCTAGCCTCACTGAGGGCGCCCCGTGAAACGTAAGGCCTGTCCCTTCCGTGTGCACGCAGCTCCTGGCATGTTCTGTTGGGTGCTCGCTTGGGCTTTCGGGGACCCTGGCCCGGCCGGTGGGAGAGAAGTCACTGTGACGGAGCCAGGTCTCAATGGGAAGACGCATTTACTGAGCTCACTCTGTGTGTCTGTTTGGGTGCTGGGCGCGTGGAGGTTTTAGGTGGCATTTGGAAGTTGCTCCCCAGGAGCCACCACGATCCCCTGTGCTGATGCGTGTCATCATGCCCGTCCGGTGTCTCTGATTCCCTGGTTGGCCTGCCTGTCTCCATCCACCAGACCCCAAGTGCCCTGAAGGCCAGCGCCTCTTCCTAGTGGAGTGTGCTGTGAGGACATAGCACAGTGCCTGACACACAGTGTCTCCTGCTGCAGAAAGGGCTTTAAGGCCTGCGAATGAATGAAGATATCCAGAGTAAATAGGGAAAGTATGTGTGACTCTGTGCTTAGAGCCATTGTTGCAAGTTCGCAGGATGCCTGTGGAGCCGGAAGGGCCTGGGTTGGCGTCTCTGACCAGTGGATGGATGCCTTTCCCTTTCTGTGTTCAACAGAGGGGATGTGTCATCATCCTTCGCAGGGTCGGTGCCAAGGATCACGGAATAAATGCTCATGCTTGGTCACTGGGTTGGGGGAAGGCTTCTGGGGAGGGTGCGTGTGGTTTGGGCTTTGAACCCGAGCCAGGTGGGCTGTGCTGGGCTTCAAACCCGGTACTGCTTGGTTGGCATGGACAGTTGATCGGGGATCACAGTCCCTGGGGTCCGTGGGAAGGCCGAGTGGCAAAGAGCTAGCAGGCAAGGGAAAGGGGCCTTGTGTTTGCGTGAGGGAGGGAACAGCCAGACTTGGACTTGGCATGAAGGCCAGTGGCACTTCTGCGGTTGACAAGCAGAAGGACTGGCTTCCCCACGTCCTGATAGGCAGCTCTGACGTTGGTGACTCTTGGGGGAGGGGATGTTGCCTTAGTGTTCGGTTCCTGGTTGCAGGTCACCTGGGGCCACTTGGCTCTTGGACACCAAGACTGCAGTGAGGTAGGGCCTGGGTTTTGATTTTGATTGAGTCCCCAGTTCCACTCAGGCCCAGTGGCACCTCTCAGCGAGGCTTTCCCTGACCTAATGGAAACGATGTCCCTCTGGTCATTCCCCACCCCACCGTCCTCAGTCAGAGTGCCTAGATGTGTTGTAATTCGGTGTTCACTTACACAGGTCCTCCCGCCTTGGAAAGCGTTCTCTCTGAGGTCAGGAGACAGGTTTGTCTTGCACTGTAGGCATCTTATTTATTCTGTCTCACCTCATCAGATCACATGGTGACTCTTGGTGGTCGTATTTCGGTGTTCCCGGAAAGGACAGACAAAAGGGAAGCGCTCTCTTTCTGAGCATCTATATGACTTAAGCAGTCCACGGTCCCATGAGGTGGGCAGCGGCGTGCCCATTGTACAGCTGAGAACTGCGAGGTTTCACGGGGTCACACGACTCACCTGAGGTTCCTTATCCGAGAGGACACTAAGCGGGAAGCCAGGAGCTGCCTGGTGTTTTATGCTGAATCAAGCCAATTCAAGCTGAAGGGTAAAGGCTTCCTTTGAGGTGTTTAGAAGAGTGTGTGTGTGTGGGTGTGTGTGTGTGTAAAACACTGCCTGCTGTGGAATGCTCTTGGGCTCCTCAGAACTGGGTGCCCTCTTTGACCTCTGGGAGAGACAGACTTTCAGTAAGAACTCCCTCCCGTGTGGAGGAAGCAGGTGCCACGCTGGGTCCCAGGATGAAGTGAGGCTAGGATCACGGTCCGGGTCCTGGAGGCTCACGGCCTGCAAGGAACCTGTGCCCTTGGGTAAGTGGGGATTTGCAGCCCCGTGATGGGTGTCGTGCTTCCGAACCTCCCAGGCAGGGCAGGGAGAGGAGTCATCCGGGGAGGAGGCTTTTGTGCTTCTGGGAGGACTCTGAGGACGGGAAGGTTTGACTGGGCTGGCAGTGGTCAGCAGAACTGTCCTGGGGGGCCCCAGGGCCTCAGTTAGAACAGCGAGTTGGGAAGGCCGAGGCGCAGCACTGCCCCCAGGCCTCCTGCACCTCTTCTTGCTATTTTTCCCCTCCCCTCCTGCTGTGGCAGCTGTGCTCCCACTTATCACCTGACCCAGAGCCCCGGCTTCTCTTTTATCGGTCGTTCCCTAGAACAAACCCATTGTGGTGGTCTGGGTTATCTCCTGCTCCTCCCCGGGGGACAGGGGTGGGCTCTGCATCAGAAGACACGGGATGGTCGTGGTGAGAGAGAGGGCTCCGCTGGGCCCCTCCTCTCTGGCCGCCGAGTCCCTGCCCCACATCTGCAAGGTCAGTGCCCTGTGGACGCTGACAGAGAAATGATCACCATTGCTGAAGGCACGCTCTGTGCAGGGCACTCGGCACATCCTATTCCATTCCAACCCCAGAGCAGACCGGTGGGGGAAGCACGGTTCGTATGAGGTTTTTGCTCGTGGAGTAACTGGAGCACAGAAAGGCAAAGCGTATTTCCCCAGAGCGCAGGGCCAGGGTTTGAACAGTTCGCTCTGAAGCCAAAGCCGCTTGGCCTGGAGCTGAGGGGAACCCATTTCTGTTTCCTTCCTGGCCCCTGGTGACTGTGATCTGGGGCAGGTTACCTCGCTTCTCTTGGCCGTCAGACCCCTCACTGGTAGGGAAGCTGTCTACTTTCTCTTCTAAACCCGGACACTTGAGAGTGAAAGCAGCACACTAACACTTGTTCTGGGATGACAGGTGGAAACCAGGTTGTTTGCTGGGCAGACTTGACCCAGGGACCCCTGGACTTATCCATTGGATGGTGGACGGTGCTGCTGGTGAGGCCTGTCCTGCTGGAACTGCTGGGGGCCTCTCCAGGGGCCCCTCCAGGTCCCTCCCCACCCCGCACCCTGTGCAGCCGTATGGGCAGTTTGCGTGTCTGCGTATCACACGTGTGCTTGGCCTCCTCTCCTTATCTCACAAGTCCATCTTTAGCTGCTTGGAGGAACCCGTTTCTCTTTGAACCCTGTTACCCCAGACTGCTGCTAGACCAGGTCTGACCCTCTAGCTATTTATTTATTCATGTGTTTTCACTGGGGCCCTGTGGTGATGGACAGCACATACACACATCCTGGGGCTTGGGGTGCAGTGCTGCCCTCCGACCTACACAGACACCCCTAAGCCAGCGCTGCTAGAGATGGCTTATTGCCCTGGACCTGTTCCTCAGCAGGGGTGCCTGGCCTGGGTCCCCCCGGGTGTACACAGGCTCAGCTAAGGCTAGGGCTGAGGTCTGGAGTCCAGGCTTCTCAATGAACAGCCATGAAACTACTTAATGGCTGGTGTTTTTTAATGCCTGGAATATGCCTGGTTAACCTTCCAATCCGGTGAGGTGGGTGTGGTGGTGCCCCTTTTATCTGTAAACTGAGGCTCAGAGAGATCCACAAAGCTTCCAGACTTATCACTTATCTCTGGAGAGAACAGAGGAGCTGGTACTTGGACTCCAGTCTATCAGCCTTCGGCCTCCCCTCTGCTGGGCTGGTGGTTCTCAGCGTATGTGGTGAGGTGTGCACAATGACTTTAGGTTATCGAGGGGCAGGCTGACTTTAAAAAAAAATACTCTTTTTATATTTACCTTCTCTTGAAATAGGAAAAGATCACAGTTGACACGGGAGACCTGTTATTTTGCAGCTTAGGGCGTAGATATTTGAGTAAAAAAAAAAAAAAGCCAATTTTGCAAAAACTACTAAGGTAACAGCAAGTAAATACAGCCGCCTTGAATAGGGCCGAAATCTGAAATGCAGTCCTCTCTGCAGTTTGTGCTCTTTTGGAGGCACAGCTCTGACCACAACCCGGGAGAGACAGTGTCTCTCTACCCCGCAGCTGAGCAGGTCTGTGTTCTGCTTCATGTCAGCTGCGCCGGCTGGTTCACTGATCCTCCCTAAATCCAGAAGATTCATGATGAAGGGACTGCACAGCTCAGTCTGAAGCGAGATTGAAAACCGAAAGAATCTCAGACCGATTGCACTTTTTAATCCTGTGATTCTGCTCGGATTGACTGCGGCCACTGCTCTTGGCACGGCCAACTCATTATGTGTATTGAGCACCCAAAGTTTTCCAATCAGGTCCTCTATTACTGTCTGAGGTTGAATTATGAAATAGTAAATATCCAGCCTGTGAAGTCAATTGATGACTCATTCACTCGTTTTTTTTTTTTAATTCATTTCTCGGTAAATAGGGGGTAATATTATCTACCTCATGGGCTTGTCGTGAGAGTTACATAAGAGAACAGATTGAAGGGCTTCATTCGGTGCCTGACGTATAATAAACGCTTAGGGAATACCAGCTATTTTTAAGTAAAATGTTGAAATGGAATTAGAAGAATCAAAACCTGTAGGCACGTAGAAATAAAGAGCATTGAGGATGAGTGATTAGATTTTGCTCTGACTTCCAAGTTAGCACAACACACAGGGTAGATTATATTTGTCTACGTACGTCAAGGGTTGGCAGACTTTTCTATCAGGGCTGGGTAGTAGTAAATGTTTTTGGCTTTGTAGGACACACAGTTTTGTCACCAGTCATCAGTGCTGCCTCTGTGTCCGGGAAGCAGACATAGCCAGTATTGTATATGAATGGGCATGGCTGAGTTCCAATAAAACTTTATTTGTAAGAACTGGCCGGAGGCCCTATTTGTAAGAACTGGCCGGAGGCCCGTAGGCTGTAGTTTGCTCCTTGGTCTAAATGAGGGAGAGAGACCTGTTTGTCATTGAAGAAGAAAAACTTCTGGATTATAAATTATAAACACTGAGAAAATTTGTTACAAGATATCCTTTTTTTTTTTTTTTTTAAGATTTTATTTTTAAGTGATCTCTACACTTAACTCCGTGGGACATACAACCTCGAGATCAAGAGTTGCATGCTCTACCGACTGAGCCAGCCAGACGCCCCAAGACATGGTCTTTAGATGAAGCTTGTTAAGCAGTGTACGGACAGTGCTTTTGTTGGGATTTTATGGAAAATTCAGAAGACCTTGACTCTGCTAGTTCTTTTACCATGTATCAGGAAACGTTTATTGAGGCCTTGCTATGTCTCGGCCTGTGATGTTGACCCGTAACAGAACCTAAAGGCACATGCATTTTGGCAGGTGATTCCCAAGGAGTCACTCAGCAACAGTGTAGGGAGGTGAGCTTAGAGTGTTTTCTGTGTCGGATGCACTGCTCAATTCCCGAATTACACACAGGCCTTCATGCTAACTTAAGCGGCAGGCCTAGGCTCCAGGCATCGCCCCGCAGCATCCTACCTCGCAGGATGGGTGGGAGTGTCACATGAGATCCTGTCTCTTAGAGTGATAGCTGCAATTATTGGAACATTGTGGTCCTTGGGGCAGAACACAACCAAGTTTTGAAGCTTTGCTGTTCCACGGCTGTGTGAGCTTGCTGTAGTTCCTAAGCCTCTCTGAACCTCACTGTCTTTATCTGCAAAGTTGGAACCTAGACACTGGTGAATCTCTGGTTCTTACCTCAGTGTGGTCAGCTGGTATTTACTCTCTAAATGTGAGTTCCTCCCCCTGGGAAGGGGCGGGGGGAGCTCACCTCTCCTTTATCCCAGGAAACCCGGTCCTGACTTTTCCAGTTGGAGCCTGTGGTTGTGAGGATTTCAGCCCCCTTCTCCCTGGTGAATGCTCGGGGCAAGAAGTCTTGAGAAAACACTAGCTTGCGGAATTCCGAAGTTAATGAAGGGAGCAGATTCCAGAAGGGTCTCTGCTTGACCTCCCACCCTTTTTCCAGCCCCCTGTCATCCCTGAGTGAGTTTGAAGCCAATCAAAGGATTATAGTCACTGCATAGAACAAGCCTCACACAGTGGGGCAGGACCATAGCCTTGGCCCCTGAAATCTGGGCCAGGGTGAGTGACTTTGAGTCTCTTTCTGTGGTCCCTGGTTAACCTGAGAAGGGCACTGCGAGCAACCAGGGCGGGCAGGGCAGGCCCTCCTGGGAGAGGGAGAGTGTATTTGAAAAATGGGGGGATAATTGTCAGCTATAAAGGTGGGAGGGGGCTAAGGAACTGTGTGAGAAATTTGAAAGAAGACCCAGGTGCCTTAAAAAAAAAAAAAAAGGAAACTTTTTCCCATTATTCTGACTTGAGGACCCAAGAGGTGTATTCAGTTAGGACTCATGGGGTAGGATAAAGAGGACAGGCTCGCATTGACTGATGCAATTTCCAGATGTGTTCTCTGCTTTTGGCTAATGGAAATTTCGGGGAAAAGTCTTTGGAGCCTGGAGCTGGGCAGTGAAGTGCCAGTGCCAGGCAGGGAAATTGCTGTCATCGTCGTCGTCGTCGTTGATGAGCCACATTGGCTTGGGCTCATCCTGGGGCAGATGTGCCGATCGCTGTCTGTGTCCGTAGCCCTGGGACTGGGGTGCCTGGGGTGGACCTGCCAGGCACTGCGTGGCGTTGGCTGCGAGCCGGTGCTCCAGTGTGCTCTGGTTGCTCTCTGGGAAGTGGATTATTTCTTCTGGTAGCTGGGGGCTGGGAGGCTTTGTCCCCTTTCTTTGTCTCGTCAAATTTCTGGCCATGCTGATAGCTGGTTCTGCAGGACATTGCTGGGGGTGGGGGGGGTCTTTCCCTCCCATCCATCTATCTGCCAACGGGATCTATGACTCCACATGGGGTGGGGGTTCTGGGGAGGAGAGGGGATACCTGATTACCAGGAACTGCCCTGACCCTTCCCTCCCCCATGGAGGCTTATCTGGCTCCAACCAGAGCAGCTGCTCTGGTGAGCTCTCTGAGTCACTCTGAAGTAGGGACTGGGGTTTAGAAGGACACATAAACAAATAAACATTAGCCAGGACAAGCTCCCAGCTTTCTGCTCACCCAGGGGCCCCAGAAAGTCCGTTGTTGCATTTTCAGAGAAGGTGATGATGCTCATCATAAAGAGTTTCCTGATGGGGAAATGCTCATGGGAGGTTGTCAGGGAACGTTAGGAGATGAGGGTGAGGGGCCATGTATATCCAGGGGTTTGCTGGCTGTGTGACTTCGGGTGGGACACTCTTCCTGGACCTTAGTCTCCTCCTACAGGGAGCTGGTTATTGTAGAAATTACATGACCTGAGCTGTAAAGTCTGGCCAGTTAAGAGTCCCCGCCTCTGTGGCTGACACATGGTAAACACCGAACTTAAGTCAGGTTTGGGAGTTAGGTTTGTGACTGTCCTCTCTTCCATTTGTTGAGTCAGTGCAGGCATTTCCTGGGGCTTCTCTGGGGCTCCAGCTCCTCATCTTTTGATGAGGTTGTGGTCCAGGCCTCCTGTCCCTCATGTGCTTGTTGAAAGGACCAAAGGAGACACCTCTGGGAAAGTACCTGAGAGCCAGACAGCATGGCTCTGTTAGATTGTGTGATGGGTGAGCCTGACCTCTTGGCAGTGGGGTCTGGAGGTGGCCCAGGTGTGGGTTCAGGCACATTCCTCAAGGTGAAGGCCAGGCAGCTTTAGGGGTGTGTTCAAGGGTTGGGCAGCCCTGCCTCCCTCCGAAGCCATGCTGGGTGCTGGGCACACCGTGACGGCCGCCAGCTCTTGGCTTTCCTCTCCCTCCCGCATCCTTCACACTGACTTGCCAGGCTCTCGAACCTGCTCAGTTTTGGGGTGGTTTCTTTGCTTGATGTCCAGATCCGGGACACACAAACCAGAAGCCACAGAAGGTCATTTAACAACCCCCAATACCTGTCACAGGATGAACAGGTGTTCACTGACGAGGCGGATGTGCTTTGGATCACTGCTTCTGCAGAAATAGTGGCCTAGAGATACACTGGAAGTCTAGGGGCTCTCTTCTCCCGTTCCATTTCCCTCACATCCCAGCAGTAACCCCCTCCTGAACCTACGCTGCAGCAGGTCACGGCTTACCCTTTCCTTACAAATCTATTTGGATACCTTTTCTAGCACCGTTTCATGCGTTTACAGATTCTTATGGTGGTGGCATCACGTAGGTATGTGTCGACTGCAGTTTGCTCTTTTCACTCTGTTCTGCTTGGAAGCTGCTGCTGCTTGTTCCTTCATGCTCCTCCTGGTGGATTTTGAGTCGTTTCCAGGTTTTTGCTACTGTAAACAGCACTGGGGGAAGCTTCCTTGCACACGCCTTCAGGTGCACGTGTGGGTGTCCCCAGGGGCATGATGCACAGGGACGCACACCATCCACCTTGTTGGGGGTAGCCATGCTGCTGTCCACTTGGGGCCCTCTGTTTGCTGGGGGTCTCCCCACAAGCTGGGGAAGCTCTTTGAGTGATGCTCGCCGCTGGATCCCTATGTGTGGTCAGCAGTGCCTGGTACTGGCACCAGCCTGTTACTTGTTGAATGGGGTGAATCCTGGAAGGAGATGAGGCCAGCATGGAGGGCAGGACCAGAGGCAGGGCGTAGAAGAAGCAGTGCCACGGCTGCCCCCTGCCGAAGCTTGGGCAGCAGAGAGAAAAGAAATGGGGATGGGGGGGAAATTGGCGCTGAGCCAGGATGGATGTTGCCAGGAAGGATGTCACCAGGCTGGGAACCCCTGGCCGCTGGCTCCTGGGGGGCTGGACGAGGCCATGTCTTTGCAAGAATGGACAGCTGAGGATGAGCTGGGATCCCCATCGTGGGGAACAGGGTGTCATCATGACCCCTGCGGGATCCACTCTCAGCCAGGAATGGGGTTGCCAGCAACGCGTGCATCTCAGGAGCGGTAAAGGAAAGTAGGAGGCCAGGCTGCAGCAGGGCCATTTGTGGATGGTGTGGAGAAGAAATTGCTAGAAGGAAGATCCATGCTGTGGGAAAGCTGAGACAAATGAAGAGAGTGAGAAAGGATTAAACACAAAGTTTGAGAGCTTCCTGCCCTTCCTCCCCCTTTTTTGCATCATTAGAAATGGAAAGTTTGGTAATGGGTAAATGATGTGTATGACTATGAAATAACCTGCTTTGTAGTTGGGTGCCCACGCCTCCTGCCTGCAGACCTCGCTGGTGTGCCCAGCATCACTGTGTCTGCTGGGGACGGGTTGGTTTCAGGGTACAGGGCTCTACGTGATACTGGGTAGGGGGGATGTCCAGGGGGAGCCTCACCTGGAGGAGAGAGCTCCTCCAGGGTATGCATTACTTAAGTGTCTGGAGGGCTGGCGGTTCTTAATAGCTCTGTACGGCCTTCACGTTCCATTCTTTGTCGAGCACCTACTACGTGCCAGGCCCCGTGCTGAGAAAGCCAGGCCCTGTGGCTTTGCCGGGTATGCATTTGCTTTCTTTTGGTATTTTTCATGGCTTCACCTTCATTAATCACTGTAGCAACAACCTCCCTGTCATGGAGGTGAGGAGCCGAAGGGCAGGTTAGGCTCCCACCCTGGGTTTAAGATAGTCTGAGTCTTTAGTGTCACTTTTATGCAGCGGAGTAGGGTGGCTTCAGGGGGCCTGGAGCTAGTCTAGGCCTTTTCATTTGCTAGATGAGTGGCCTTGGGCAAATTCCTTAACTTTTCTTGGCCTCAGCCTTCCCATCTGTTAAGTAGGGTCATGATAGTTTTTCTGTTGAGGTTGAGTGTTTGTGTCTTCCTCACATTTTTATGTTGAAGCCCTAAGCCCCAGTGATGGTATTCCATGTTTTTTTTTTTTTTTTCGGGAGTTCAGCTTTTTATCGAGCAGCTTATAAAAGTTTAGTCAAAGAGACCAAAGCGTGTCATCATCAGACTCCTCAGATTCTTCTTTCTTTGCATCCACTTTTTTCTCCTCAGCTGGGGCAGCAGTGGTGGAAGGAGCAGGACCTCCCGCTGGCACAGCGCCAGCTGCTGGGGCAGGCCCACCAGCTCCTACATTGCAGATGAGGCTCCCAATATTCGCGTTGGCCAGGGCCTTTGCAAACAAACCCGGCCAGAAAGGCTCAACATTCACACCCGCTGCTTTAATGAGGGCATTGATCTTATCCTCCGTGACTGTCACCTCGTCGTCATGCAAGATGTGGGCTGAGTAGATGCAGGCAAGCTCCAAGACGGAGGCCATGGCGAGGGTGTGTGCTGAGCGCCGTGCTAGTCGCCGGCTGAAGTGAGGGCCTCACCCCAACGCGGCCTTAGCTTCCTCGGAAGGACCGAGCACCTTAGTGGCAGCTGGGGAAAAGAGGTTTTTTTTTTTTTTTTTAATGATTCCACCCCTTTACTCTGCCTTGTAGGTGTGACCCCATGCAGGCCACGCATGGGGCTGCAGGGGGCTACCGCTGCTCAGGAGAAGCTTCCTCTATGTGACACTTTTTAGACTTTTTAAAACATGTGGCCCAACCGTTTGCCATTTGAGAATTACAGCAAATGATTCTATTTGTAATTTCTAACCCTCCCACTGCCTCCCCCCAAAAAAACTGTACGAGTTTACATATTAACATATAAATAATGAGAAGGGATAGTATTCTGGGGCCTTTGGGAGGTGCTAAGGCTCAGATGAGGTCCTGAGGGTGTCCTCCACCCTCCCGCCCACAGTGAGACGAGTGTCTTTGTAAAGAGGAAGACAGAGGGATCTGTGTCTTTCCTTGTATGCTTACACACCAAGGGGAGCCCCCTTGAGCAGTGAGAAGGTGGCTTTCCACAAACCAAGAAGCAGGCCCCCACAAAGGATAGAACCTGCTGGTGCTCCAAGCCTCCAGAACTGTGAGAAATAAATGTTGGTTGTTGAAGCCACTGTCTGTGGCATTTCGTTGCAGCAGCCTCACCGATTTAAGACAGCCTCCATGTGAGAAGGGTTCCAGGTTTTTTTTTTTAAATTTTTTTTTTTATTTATGATAGTCACACACACAGAGAGAGAGAGGCAGAGACACAGGCAGAGGGAGAAGCAGCCTCCATGCACCGGGAGCCCGACATGGGATTTGATCCCGGGTCTCCAGGATCGCGCCCTGGGCCAAAGGCAGGCGCCAAACCGCTGCGCCACCCAGGGATCCCAGGTTTCAGGTTTAAATGAGATACTACGTGAAGGCTTTAGCACAGCACCCAACACATGCTCAGTGTTAGATGAAGCCTGGCAGGCATTCTCACTATTTTATTTACAAGTGACCCCACGGTGGTTCAGAGCCAGTCACATAGTCACTTTGTGACTCAGCTCCTGGGATGAGCTGGGTCCTTCTTCCTCCGCCAGGGAGTGCCTTTCTTGCCCTGCCTTCGTGGACAGGCCATGTGTTACCAGCATTCTTACAAAAAGCCTTGAGAGCCAGAGCAAGGCAGGGAAAAAAACTGCCTGGATGCTGCCTGCGGGCTGAATGAAGCCATTCCTGGGGTTTTGTTAGCTTTCTGGTTAGCACCAAAATAAACACCTCCAAATGGCTTTGAGGTTCCCAGTTGACATTGCATTTTGGATTCAGGCAGCCCTGGCATTTTGCATCTTACTGAGGATGTAAAATGTTTAGAGAGCAACAAAAGTAATGGTGAAAGGGGGAAATTCAGGCCTGGGCAGGGCAGGCTGTACCCCCGTTGGTGTGATGAATGGGTGAGAAATGGCTTAGGGATGCTTGTGACATCCTGTGTTCCCAGGTGTTGAGATGAGAGGGGCATAAGCAGGTAAGGAGAAACTGCTTTGCTGTCTAGAGAAGCCAGCGCTCTCCTGATGCTTCCGTGGTATAACGTTGAGTCTCATTCCCATCTGCTCTGTCCGATGTTGAGGTGTTGGGTGTAGTGTCGTGGATGGTGTGGCGTGGGTAGGCATTGGTGGCACCGTGCTTGTATATTAGTTACCCTTTAATGAATGGCTCTGACCTGCCAAGATTTGAATAAACCTTTCAGCAACCCCAAGAGGTGAGTGCTGTGTGACTCTCATCTCACTGGTGTGAAAACAGAGGCTCAGACTGGTCCAGATACCCAGCTGGTGAGACTGAAGCCGGGGTCCCAAGCTTCCCTGGGGCTCCTGACCATGTTCCCCAGGCTGCCTGCACCCTACTCCAGACGTATTACAACCTATCACGGGAGATGCCAGGACTCTGGTCCCAGGTGGACAGAGGGGACCCTGTGGGAGGCTGGATCTTCGCACCTGTTGGAATGGATACTAGCCTGCTATATTTGCAGTCTCCCCTGAAGTCAACCCTTGTTGGGGTGGTGGGTGGTGGTGACAGGGGGTTACACCCCAGCTCTGTTGGTTTGCTCGGTGGACTTGGGCCTGGTGGCCATCAGGGAGAAAGGGGGGCAGGGCTGGCAGGCAGGAAGAAACCTCCTGCAGACCATCCACACCCCACTGTGGATAGACTCCTGGATTATTACTCGGAGGCTCCAATGACCAGACTTGGGTCAGTAAGCCCGGGCTGCAGAGAGAGAGATGCGAAGTCTTTTTTTTTTCCCACGAAGTTCTCACCATTTTAAAGGGCCCTGTTTCCTTAGTTACCTCTCTAGGGATGGTGGATGTGGGGTCTTCCCAGCCCAAAATCTGTGGGGGATGCGAGGAGGGGGTGGCGGGGCCTAGGTGGGGAGGGGTGAGGGCGGAGGGAAAGGAAGAGCAGGACAGGGGTGCGTGTTCCACACCCAGCTTCTTCCTCATTTAACTTTAGCTTCTTCCTCGTTTAACTTTCTCCCTGACGGAGAACAAGGGGCCAATTCATGGGCATGAGAGGCCTCCCTCGCCTGGAGTCGGGTTCCTGCGCCTTCCAGTGACTAAGGAGGAAATTCCATCACGCATCGTTCATGCCGTTCTCTATCTTCATCTTGTGGCTGCCTCATCTTTCTGGAATTTGCCTTTTTCCTTTCTTTTTTTTCTGGGTAGTACGTGGAGGCGACATGTGGTATGGCCCCGGAAAACACAGCCCGGCTTTGGTCTTGACACGCGGTCATCTGCAGGCGTCACGTGCTGGGGACGGTGGGCATTCGGAGCGCCGTTGGTTCCTCTGGTCTTCGGGGCTCCGCGCCCACTTCTCAGCCCCCGGTGGGACCTCTGGTTAAACACTCACATCACCTGGGACCTTGAGATTGGATCTCTCAGGACTGCCAGCTTTCCGGCGTGCTTCCCTAGATGGAAGGGTCACCCCAGGTGTCTGGACTGGCGTGGCACTGGGGCCACGGTCACGAGGAGGTGAAGCACGCCGCCATCACCGGTGGGGACAGGGGACAGGACATACTGCACATTCTGATGGGCGCTTTCCACCTCTCCCAGGCCCCACCGACCTTGGCTTTAGAACCTGCCTCCTCTGGCTCCTGCACAGGGCTGGTTGTCCTGTGCCCCTTGCTCATAGGCACTTACCTGCTGTTGGCTCCCGCCGTGTGGGTCTGTCTCTCCTATGAGCCTGGGAGCTTGTTCGGAGTGTTCCAGTGGGAGGAACAGGTTTGGGCTCACAGTGTATTTCAAAGCCCCTTTTAAAAAAAAAAATATTTTGTTTATTTATTCATGAGAGACGGCGGGGGGTGGGGGCGGGCGGGCAGAGACACAGGCAGAGGGAGAAGCAGGCTCCATGCAGGGAGACCGATGTGGGACTCGATCCGGGGACCCCAGGACCACACCCTGGGCCAAAGGCAGGCGTTAATCTGCTGAGCCACCCAGGGATCCCTTGAAAGCCCTTTTTATGGGGCCAGCTCACGTTTGCTGCTGGATGAACTCTCAGGAGACTGGTTAAGATGCTTCTGAATTAAAGGGGGTGGGGTCACACAGGCCACTTTCCCCCTTTATGGATCAGCTGCTATTTATCATTCAGATAATCAATGAGCACATGTGTCTGCTGGGTTCTCAGGGTGGGTACTAGAAAGACAACACTTGCCCCTCCCCGAGTGGGGAAAACAGCAGGAAAACAGTACAGCCGAGTGTTTGAAGTGACCTGTCTCCAAGTGAGAAGGCCTGAGTTTGAATCTTGGCTTTGTTACTTATTAGCATGTGACCCTGGACCACATACTTCCTTCAGCCTCAGTTTCTCTAGCTGCAGAATGGGAGCAACGCTGGTGTTCATGCCTGGAGATTATTTTAATGAACTAGTACATGCATAATGTTTAGTATATGTGGGAAGCTTCCTGGAGAGAGACCCAGGGGCAACCGTTTTTTTATTAAAAGGTAAGCGGACAGGACGCACCTTTATTTTTTTACTTTTTATTTTTTTTAATAAGATTTTTATTTATTTATTCATGAGAGACACAGAGACACAGGCAGAGGGAGAAGCAGGCTCCTTGCAGGGAGCCCGATGCGGGACTTGATCCCAGGACCCCGGGATCACAACCTGAGCCAAAGGTGGATGCTCAACCACTGAACCACCCAGGTGTCCCAGGATGCACCTTTAAGAACTGGTACAGCTCTGCTGGGGGTGGCCAGTGTGGTCCTGAGTGGGCATGGTGGTGCAGGGCAGCGTGTGGGGTCCTGGAATGCCCAGGCCTGCGGGTTGGAAAGCCGGGCCGTGGCAGCCCCTGCAGAGACACTGGGACTGGAGTGGGAACCAGAACTCCCTCTGGGAGGCATTGACCAGCCTCCAGGAGCCGAGGGTCAGGAGGAAAATGGTGGGCCAAAGGCTTTTGGAACCAGGCAGAAGCAAGGCACTCATGCTCTTGTTCTTTTAGGACTGTCTGTATGTCAGACCTGTAGGTCCCACAACGATCACCGTGGCCAAGATTTGGCAAGTGGGAGGTAGTTTTTCTGATGAGGCCAGGCGGAGAGGCCGTGCATGTAAGGGCTAAGCCCCAGGGAGTGGGGTGCAGGGGAGAGCCCCAGTACATCATGTTGACCCTCACCCTTGCCACATTAGGGCTGGAGGGACAGTTGCTTAATTAGGCCGGTCCACCTTCGACTCAGGAGAGGACGATTGGGGGAGGTGGGGTGGACTTGGGGTGCGGTGATGAAAATACGCATCAGGAGGGGATGCTTGAAGCTTGTTTTTTGTTCCTGAAAGAATTTACTCACCCTCTGTTTCCTGGGCAACTGAGCTTTGGTGTCCACGTCTGTAGACTGGGGGTAAGAAAGAACCTCTGTTCTGTGGGGCAGGTGTGATACCCCGAGCTGACATGGCCAAGCTTGTAGGAATCTGACCGAGAACGCTCATGCCTCCCTCTTAACTGTCTTCATTTGCT